TTAATGTTTTTGGTCAGATTTACTTTAGGTCAGATATATTTTAGGTCAGATATATGTGTATTCTAAATTATCAGAGAAAAGTTAATAGCTTGGCAACTTTAAACGGTAACTAGAGAGCAAGTAAATGATCAATGAGAAGAGTAGTACAGAATTTTAGAAGGACCAGCGGAAGCAAGTAGAGTTTCGATACATGAAATAGCAAGGTGACAAAAAAATTGTTCAATCAATTCCAACTAGTGTAAGGGCTTTGCAGGCAGTATTGATATTTTATGCATTTTGGAATTCTCATACTGCCTAGCAATATGCAGGGTACTAATTGGTTAGAAGAAAGGAATGTAAAGCCTGAAAGAATATAATAACAGTTAATTACAAAATGATAATGTTTCACTAGGTAAAATTTTACAGTTAAGTGAAGTGAATGGGAGCTAGCGGTAATAATTTAACATATTTATCCTGTAGTACCAATTTACAATCTAATGAGGCAGTCAATATTGGTGTTTATGTTTTAAGGATGCAAAACTGAGGTCCACAAAAATTAAGTCAAGAAAAACTAAAAACAGCTAAGGGAGAGGAAACAATCATTTCTAACCCAATTAGATTCTAGAGGATAGCCAAAAATTGCGACATGTCAAGTCAAATGTTATGTCCTATATCCACAAACTATATATTGAGATTCTATTCTTAGAAGCCCTTATGAATATAGCATTAATATTAATGACTAACATATATTGTAATATTAATTTTCAGTCATTGTGATAAGGACTTCATACAAATTAATAAATTTAATCTTCATGATAACCCCATGAAGTAAAAAAGAAAAAATTATCTTCAATTTACTGATAAGGAAACCTAGACACTAGAGCTGGAATTGGATTTCTGATCTGACTTCATTGTCCATGCTACTAAATATGCTTTGAAAATAACAAAACTGATCACAAAATCAATAAAGATAAAACAAACCACAAACATGTGTAACACTAAACACAATATTTACAAAGCAGTTCTTTAGCTTTGTAAATATGGAAGTTTTTTTCCCTTATATATGAAGTTTGACAATTAAGTTTGTGAACTTGCCACCATGCACTTACATTGGCAGCATTGTACAAACAGCTTGGCAAGGCTTCATAACCTTGGTATATCAGTGTCTCACAGCTGTGTTCGTGTTGACATGTAGCGGTATCTTGCTGAGTGGTGTTCATTATTGCTGTTGCATATTTTTGTGTGCGAGAATGTCTGAGCTTGAATTAGAGCAATGAACACTAAATTTCTTGTTAAACTTGGCAAGAGTGGAAGTGAAATCAGGGACATGTGAGTCCAAGTTTATGGGGATAATGCCATGAAGAAAATGACACAGTACAAATGGATTAAACGTTTTTCTGAGGGGAGAGTACATGTCACTGATGAAGAGAGGTCAGGTTGGCCAGTAACCAGCAGACCTGATGAAAACATTGCAAAAATTCATTGAATTATATGCCCAAATTGTGGAATGACTGTGAGAAGCATAGCAGACCAAATAAACATTGACAGAGAAACAGGAAAATCTTAACTGAAAACCTTGGCATGAGAAAGGTGTGTGCAAAAATGGTCCCAAAGGAGCTCACTGATGAACAAAAGCAAAGGAGAGTTGAAGTTTGCCAAGACCTTTTGGAGAGGCAAGACCATGTTTTTGGCTGTATTATCACTGATGATGAAACATGACTGTACCGATACGACCCTAAAACAAAGCATGAAAGTACACAATAGAAGTCAGCAATTCTCCATGACCAAAAGAGTTCTATCAGGGACTGGCTGAGTGGCACGTTGGTTAAGAGTCAGCTTGGGAGCGCCAGCTCTGAGCAGCAGGGCCCTGGTTCAGATCCCACATGGGCCAGTGACGCTGTGCCCTCTACAGCTAAGATGGTGAACAACAGCTTGGCCTAGGCTGCAGTGGGACTGCAGTGGGCTGCCATAAGCTACCGTGAGTGGCTGGCAGCCAGTGTGAGCGGCCATGAGCCACCATAAGCGGCCACCCAATGGCCGGTGAGCAACTGCCTCACCCGGGAAGAGCGCAAAGATAATACCAACATGGGCCAGTGAAGCGACGTCCTCCACAACTAGACTGAAGAACGAACGAAAGGACAGCAACTTGTCTGTTCCCCTCCCCCAATTCCCCAATACAATCTTTTTTTAAAAAAAAGTTCCATCAGTCCAAATCAAGAGTCAGAATAATGTTGCTCACCTCTTTTGATATTAGAAGAATTATTCATTATGAATTTGTACCAACTGGACAAACAGTTAACCAAGTTTACTATTTGGAAGTGCTGAAAAGACTGCATGAAAGTCACATGAAAACAATCTGAACTTTTCACCAATTCATGGCTCTTGCATCACGACCATGCACCAGCTCACAAGGCACAGTCTGTGAGGAAGTTTTTAGCCAGTAAACAAATAACTGTGTTGGAACACCCTCCCTACTCACCTGATCTGGCCCCCAATGACTTCTTTCTTTACCTAAAGATAAAGGAAATATTGAAAGGAAGACATTTTGATGACATTCAGGATATCAAGAGTAATATGCCGACAGCTCTGATGGCCGTTCCAGAAAAAGGGTTCCAAAATTGCTTTGAAGTGTGGTCTAGGCTCTAGCATTGGTGCATAGTTTCCCAAGGTGAGTGCTTTGAAGATGGCTATAGCAATATTCAGCAATGAGGTATGTAGTTTTTCAAGGATGAGTTTGAGAACTTAATTGTCATGCCTTGTATACTTGTCTGGCCAAGGTTTCTTAAAGTGTAAGTTGATGAAATTTAGACTAAAGACATCTTTATCTGGTAAAAGTCCCTATAGAAAATATTCTTCATTGTTCAAAAAACTTGAAAAATTATATATCTGGAATTATAAGTATTTGTATTCTTTTTGCTTCTTTGTTTTTTTTCTTAATTACACGTGTTGTTTATATGATTTTTTAAAATTTAAAGATGATTGGAAGATCCCCAAAAAATAAAAAACAAAAAATATTGTCAAGCCTGAATTAATAAAGGTTGAATAGAACATATACCAATCATGCATATTTAAGTGACAACTAACAATTAGAAAACTATCAATTTCCAAGTAAAGACTGACCTTTAATAGTATATATTCAAAGTATAACCACTGATTATAAGGTTGAAAAAAAGATGAATTTCATGAACACAATAAAAATGATTTACTTTTGAGTAATTCAAAATGTAAGAAAGAAGTTTCTACACTTAAATTAGCATCTTGAATCCAAAATGAAGGTAATTATATCTATATTTTTATTTTGGGATTAAAAAATAAACAAAGATCACATATATCAAACCTTATTACAATGTATACTTTAAATATGTGCAGTTTATTGTATGTCAGTTATAGCTCAATAAAGCTGGAAAAACCTAGAAAAAATTATTTATACTATGTGGTTAAGTCCTGTGGAAATGTTTTTATAAAGTATTAAGCATAAACAGTCACTTGATTTTTTTTTTAAGTGCTACTGCAATGCAGTAGGTTAGAAATGGTCTTATCAATGTATAGAGCTAGGTCGAATAGAAATTCATATGGAAAAACTGAAACCAACTTTAGAAAAATTAATTTTAGCTGGATCATGGACATAAATGTAAGAATATCTCCATGACTCTGTGTATGAAAAAAATAAACATGGCACATAAAAGAAAATTAATTGGACTTCATTAAAATTAAGACTTCCTGAGCATCAAAGCTACAAGCAAGCTACAGACAAAAAGGGAAATATTTGCAATACATATATTGGCAGTGGACTCATATCCAGATTATATAAAAACTTCCTATAAATAAGAAAAAGACTGACAACCCTTCATGGACAAAACACTAGACTTGGCGCTTCACTGAAAAAGATATCCAAAAGGCCAACATGCATATAAAAAATTGTTTGACAACATTAACTATCAAGGAAATGCAAATTAAAATTCACAATGAAAAATTAATACAACCTCACCACAATGGCTAAAATTTTAAAAGATTGATGATACTATGTGCTTGCAAAAATGTAGAACAACTGGAAATCTCACACATTGCTCTTTGGGGTGTAAACTGACCTACTTTAGAAAATTTTTTGAAAGTATGTAGCAAAACCACTATGCCTTATGACTGACCAATTCCAATCTTGCATATTATTTCCAAAAGTAATGAGTACTTGTCTATCAAAAGATGTTTATGCTGCTTTCAAAATACCCTCAAACTGTAAACAATCCAAAAGGATAAACTGTGGTATAGTAATGCAATGGAGTACTAATCAACGACGAAAAATATTGTGTGTGTGTGTGTACGTGTTTCTCTCTCTCTCCTGCTGCTGCTTCTGAGTAAGCAATAATCAAAATCAGTTCTTGAAGATTAGGAGGAAAGGAAAAGGAATTAGCAAAGAGGTGGAAAAGAACTACGTATCTCCCCATTCTGAAGCCAGATACACTGCAATTAGACAAAACAAAACAACAAAAATTATAGATACAAAAGGTAATTTTCAATAGAAAACAAGAAATATGGTTAAATAGCATATTGTACTGTAGTGTGTATGGAAAAATTGTTTTAGCCTTCAGATGTAGATGGTAAAACAGAAGTTTCCCAAGTAGTCACATATACAATTGACTTCCAAAATAGATAAACCTAATTAACTCAGAATAATTTTTCTTCGGAAGTGTTTGAGTCATCAAACTTAGATAACTATAAATTTAAGATTACAGCGCTTGAGACTAGGAAATTAACCCATGCTGAGTAATTATTGAGTTAATTTCTACAACTATGTATTGGCAATTTTTCTTTGTCTCGGATCCCTAGTTTCCATAAGCACTAAGCGGGGGACGCAGGGCCGCGGAAGGGTGGGGGGGTGGGTGGAGTAAAAGTGATGGGACTGGGAGGAGCGGTGGCACCAGCACCCTCAAAAGCGTACCTGTTTTCCGCCTATGGCAGGCCCTGCCCTGCGTGGCCCCGCCCCCACGGCGTTGGGCCGCCGCGTCTCTATGGAAACGAACCGCACCTCCGTGCAACCAGTACCACCATGGCTGCTGGGGAGCCCGGGGATTTGGGCGGCTACTACTTCAGATATCTGCCTCAGAGAACGTTCCAGTCTCTGAGCAACCCGGAGGTCACCAGCCGGCTCCGGCAGTGGTGAGAGGCCGAGGGGCAAGGAGAGAAGAGCAGAGCCCCTTGGCCTTTGCGGCAGTGGAGACGCGGGCCGGGCGTCGAGGCGGCCCTGGTTGGCTTGGGCCCGTCCTGAGCGAAACCCCGAGGCAGCAGTAACACCTGCGCAGGGGCGGATTCCGTGGGTGGGACTGGCCGAATGGGCGCGCTCAGAGGGTGCCAGCCTGAAGCTGACTTTTTTTTCTCTCCTCTGCTCCAGGTCCATGCTGGGCAGAATCCAGGCGCAGGCGTTCGGGTTTGACCAGAATTTTCAGGCCCACCAGAGGGATGATTTCGTTATGGTTAGTATGGTTGAGGAGTTCCTTGGACCTCTACTGATTTTCAGTATTCACAGGTTCTTGTGAATACGCCATTACTTACTGACGTTGTTTTCTTGGAGTTTAAGAATAATGAAAGGTGCAAATGATAAACTTTAAAAGGAACTTTTACGTTTCCCATCATCATACCATACATTAGCTCATCTTCAGTATCCTAGCAATTCAATGAACCTTTCAATTTTGGAAAGTCAGTCTCTGGAAAATCAGCCTCTATTTTTAATAGGAACACCTCATTATTGAGTATTATTACCTGACTTTTTTGCTAGGCTTAGCTTCAAATTACTTTTGGTGGTTTCTCGAAATCAAATATACCCTTGTGAGAAAGAGGCTCTAACAGCAGTTCCAAATGAGGGGTTCTTAAAAAAGGAATAAGTCTGTAGCTGCTGGAAGTGAGTGCTTCAAAAAAGTAAAAACTCACTTGAAAGTACAAGTTCTGGTGTGTTAGTTAAAATTTGGTGACGTTATTTTAAATACCGGGTTTTTTTCCTCGCCAATCAAAAGGAAAATACTGTTATGATCTGAGATATTATCTTTTCCGTTCTTGTCCTTCAGGCATTGACGTTAGTCTGTAGTTGGCATAATTTATTCACACTTCCTGAGGGCCTACCATGTGCTAGGAAGTCTGTCAGGTGCTGGGGATACAAGATGGAACAAGACAGAAGCCTGGCTTTCCGGGATCTTACAGGCCTATGGCAAGACTGCTAATAAACCAAATAATCAGGTCATCTCATATACAGTAGTTAAGTGCAGTGAAGAAAATAATAGCCTAATTAATAAACCAAAATATTTACTTTAAGGGTATATTACTTTCCCAGGGCTGCTGTAGCAAAGTATCACAAACTGGGTGGCTTAAAACAACAGAAATGTATTATCTCACAGTTTTGGAAGCTGTAAGTCCAAAATCAAGGTGTCAGCACGGTTATACCCCCTCTGAAATCTGTAGGGAAGAATCCTTCCTTACTTTTAGGTTTCTAGTGTTTGCCAGCAATCCTTGGCACTTGTTGGCTTGCAGCTGCAGAATTCTAATCTACCCTATGAAAGTCACTCACCCCTCTCCCTTCATGTGTCTATGTCTGTGTCTCTTCTCTTTTTATAACACCATTCATATTGAATTAAGGGCCCACCCTACTCCAGTAGGACATCATCCTAACTAATTAAATCTGCAATGACCCTGTTTCCAACTAAGGTCACTTTCTGAGGTTCCAGGAAGGACATGAATCTTGGTGGGAACACTGTTCAACCCTTAACTGGATATGGGTTAAAGGTCTATTTCTCTTTCCCTAAGGTGGTGTTATAATATTAATATAATATAATGCTATTATAATACTACTGATGATATTAATGACATTTCTCAAATATTCATGGTTAGATTTTTACGTTTTTCATTTATCCCAGTACTGGCTCTCACAATAATATATTAAAAAAAAAAAGATTAGGATTTAATTAACTGAATTTTAGAGTGCTATAAAATTTTTTAAATAATTCACTTAATAGATATTTGTTGAATACTTAACTGTGTCCCTGCTGAGAGGTGATAAAAAGATCTGATCTCAGGTTACAAGGCATATACTGTTTTGGAAGCTAGAAATATAAAAAAATTACAACACAATGAAATAATTGCTATAATGGAAGATATATCAGGTGGCTTAGGCACAAAGAAAAAGATCACCCAATAGAGAGAGGGGCACTGGTATTGTGAAAAAAATTCATAGAGGAGAGTGTAGAATTCATTTGGGTTGTTCAGTAGACACAGAATTCTTCAATAGATTCAAGATTGAGCCACATAAAGCACAATAAATTTCCTTAATACCAGGCAATTTTTCTCTGATTTTCAAAATATTCATATCTGTTTACCCTAAATTTTTCCTGTGAGGTAGAGAGTGTTAGTTGCATATTTTAATTCAAAGAAATGTACTCATACAATCATTTTTACTCATGTAACTAATTTGGAAGAAATAAAACATTGTGGCTAAGAGCATGGCCCAGAAGGGGATGTACGTTGAAGCTAAGAATCTTCAGGGCCCCTCACTAGCTCAAGCTCCTCACTTGCAGAAGCCCTTTCCAAGGAATTCAGGAATTCTAGCAATAACGTCACTTGGTCATATGTTTTTGAAAATATTAAAAAATAGATGTTTTGTATTCTTCAAGCGCTAAAATTAGATGAGCTTAAAGTCCGGGATCCTCCCCTGATTTGGCCTCTAGTTAGCTGTCTGTGTTAAAATTCCAACTTTGTGACTTACAAGCTGTTTGACATTGGGTAGTTACTTAACCTTCCTGAGCTTCCGTTTGCTTTTGTGCAAAATGATCATGTACTTGACACATAATAAGTATTTTTGAATATGAAAATCATACAGAATATCTGATGGGATTGTTACAAAGAATAATGAAAATAATATACATAAAATATTTCACAAAATGCCTGGTTCATATAAGTGCTATTATTATTAACATTTGTATACTACTTTACAAAGCAGTAGTGACTCCTGTGTGCCAGATTTAGCTTTCAGCACTTTTTGTATATTTGTCACTGATCTTTACAACAATCTGGTAAGTTTGGTGTTTTGACCCCCATTTTGTAGCTGGGGAAACAAACTCAGAATTATTATATAATTTGTGTGAAAATTCTCAGCAATTAGCAGAATCCAGGCCTTCTGATTTAACTTCCATGTCATTTCTATTACAAAAACTCATAACTGAACAAAGGATATTGCTTACACCCGAATTGCAGATTTGGGATCTTCCCTTTCAATTTTAAAACAAAGTATAACAATATATTCTGAAGTCCATTTGTGAGATAGTAATTGGATGGAAAAAAGGTAGAAAACGTTTATCCAGCAAACATTTCTTTAGTTCCTAGGTCTGTACAGACAAACAAGACACAATTAAAGAGAGGAAAGCAGACCAAAAATTGCATTGCAGGGAGAAATGATATACCTACCGTATGCACAAGGTACTGTGGTGGCTCGAAAGAGAGTGATTTGTTTTTGAGGTGGTCAGAGAAGGGTATATGGAGGACAAGTCATGGGAGTTAGGTCCTGAAGGAAGAACAGAAGTTTGTCAGGTAGACAAAATGGAGGGATATTTCAGAAAACCTTTTGTGCCACACAGAGGAGTCAGAGCTTTATTTAGCTAGTAAGAAGTCCCTGAACGCTTTTGAACAAGATAGTAAAATATAAAATACTGAAATCACTGTGGCAGAAGTGTAGATGGTGGATTATTAGGACGGAGTCCGGAAGCAGTGAGACCAAAGTGGAAACTGTTGTCCTCCTGACAGTAGATGGTGATGTCCTGAATTAAGACAGTAGTAGCAGGATGCCTGCAGAGATATTTAGGAGAAAGGCAATACTCAATGACTAATAAGATACTGACAGTAAGGCAAAGGGGAAACATGTAGGATAACCAAGTTTCTGATTTGGTTGATTGGAGTGGCAGTTGATGTCATTGACTGCAGAGAAAATGCAAATGAATAAATAAAATGAGTTCAGTTTTAGGCATGATAAATTTGAAGTCTGTCCAAGTGGCAATATCCTAGATAGTTGAATATAAAATCTCACTTTAAGTTTCAGGAGAGAGCTGTGGGCCGAGTCTAGATTTTTGGCATCCTGACTGTGGGACTAGGGATAATGAGGGGAATCTTCCAACATAAACTGCAAGGGAAGGTCCTTAATTTACAGAGCTCTCCTGAAGGTCTGTCTGCCCAACACTTCTTTCGGTTCATGACCAGACTACTTACATCTCATGGCCACATACCACGGAGACCAAAAAGTACAGACTTGTAGCTGAGCAGATTGCTGTCCCAAATAAGATTGGGATTCCTTAAGGAAGGAGAGAATTGATCAGAAACTGATCCAACATAGATGATACAGTCTGCCACATAGATGATATAATCAAATATCTACTTATATTTCATATGTGTGGCATATTAGTAGACATACATTAAAAATTATATATAAAATAGTATATTAATTTAGAAATACTTTTCCACTCACATTTTATGAAACAAGTTTACTCAAATCTTCACATGCAGACATCAGTATCTTTGTTATCACTGTAATTAGTTTATGAATCATCTAATATTTTCCAAAGCACATCAGCTTACAGTTATTTGAGATACAGAGAATTCTTCCTAATGCCTCACTGGAAAGTCTATAACAAACCCAAAATACCATTTGCATACATTAGGGTAGGGTTTTTTGGGTTTTTTTAAAATTCATTCTTTAGGCATATAGTTGTAATCTCAACATAACTATTGTATTGCTTTATTTGAGGGACCTTTATGAAGACTTCCATTGGCTCCAGGTCAACTCATTGCAGGCCACTTATATACTTCCATTTATAATGACATCTAAATGTAATTGTAAGTTGATACACCCTAGAAATAATTACTAAATCTGAATTAAATTTCCCCTTTTACTGACTCATTCAGAAGACCTCTAAAAAGTATTCAAAACCAGTGTTGATTGAGGTTAATTCCATCTTATAGTTCTTTTCAAAATGTGTGTTACATAAACTAAAATAGTTGCATGAACACACTTTAGTTTGAAAGAGTTTGTAAAGTGATAGGGCAAACCTTGTTTCTGAGAAATAATTTTTGGGAAAACTTACTTTTTTGTAATTGGGCATGTATGATACCTGTTTACCCCCATCACTAGGATGTAAATCCCATGGGACTTTGTCTTGCTTGGCATAATGTAGACATTCATAAATACTTGTTGAATGTATTCACCTTCACCCACTCACCAGTCCTCTTCACTGTTCCCTTTCTCATTAAATGACATTCCTCCTGGTTTTTCATGCAAAAATTCTAGGAGTCATCTTTGATTCATCCTTCTCCCTTTGTCCCTTACTCTTAAATATTAACTGAATCCACTCACCTCTCTACCTCTCTACTTGCTGTCGGCTTGACTGATGCGAATATCAGATCTTCCTGGATTAGAGCAGCACCCTCCCTCCTAACCAGTCTCTGTAGACTTTCAATTCATTCTCTACACTGCAACCATATTTTAAAAATATGACTGTAATCACCGTTCCTCTGCTTAAGTCCCTTCAGTATCTTCCTACTACCCTTAGATCAAAATATTGATCAATCTAGATTGATCTTAAATCAAGATCAAAATTTCTCACTTGCCCTTCAAGGTCTACTTTAATTCCTCAACCTCATCTGACCATTGATTTCCCTTTGACTCTGGTCACGTTGAACCTCTTTACTTTCCTTGAGTGAGATGCCCCCTCCTTTCTTACCTTACAGACCTTAAACTTGCCATTTTCTCCACCTTAAAAAATAGTCTTCTAGTGCCATGCAAGAACCAGATCAGAACAGCTTGACTGCTAAATTTTCAGGAATCTTTGTTTGCTGGTTGATAAACTTTTGGCAGCTTAAAATTCACATATGTGGAAATCAACACATGCTACAATCAGGGCTTTTTTGGGAGGGAGGGGTATCAGTGGTTAAACATTTGCCAGTATACTCTCTTTACCAGCTCACTACTACTCACCTTTCAGATCTAAACCTAAATGTTCTTTCTGCATTATCCTTTCTCTCCAACACTATTCAATTAGGTCTGCCTGTTCTGGACTTCTATAGCACCCTGCACTTCTTCATAATACTCATGGCATGTTAGTTAATATCCCCCCTATTAGTCTGTAACTTCCATGAGGGCAGGGACTTTGTCCATTTGATTTTGTAATTAGGAAGTCAAGTGTACTTTTAATTGAGTGATGGGAGCAGGAGCCAGATACAGAAGAATAACTGGTAGACAGAGAAGTGAAACAGATTCCTCTTTCAAGAAGATATTTAGGGAAAGAGTGATAGCTTGAAGGGAATGTCAAAATAAGAGAAATACTTATTGCAACAATCTAAACAACAAAGAACAATTCATAGAATCAACAATCCCAAACTAATCCTAACCCCTACCTTCTCCACCCCCTCTTCCCAAAGCCTACAACCACCACTTCTAAGGTACTTGTGAATGGTTTTGTATCTGTTCTTCATAGTTTATGTTCATATAAATAGAGGCTTCGTTTTGTTTTGTTTTATCATACACATTACTCTTAAACTACTCTTTTTTTACTCAAAATGCTTATGGTTTTCCTTCAAAATCAATACAATTTATTGAGTAACTGCTATATGCCAGGCCCCTTCTAGGCCCTGGGAACATAGCAGTTAGTAAGAAAAACAAGGCCCCTTAATGGAGTTTACATTTTAGTCTAATACGTACTTTCTTTTCAATAACTGCATACCATCTAATGTAAACGCACTGTATTTTATTCAATCTTTCTTCCAATGATGGACATTGAAGTTGTTTCCAGGTTTTGACATTACAAACAATACTATAAAAAGAATTCCTTATATGTGAATCTTATCTACTGGTGGTTTATTTCAACAGGACACATACCCCAAAGTGGAATTTGTTGGATCATAAAATATGCATGTTTTTAATACTCAAGATAATATTCAATTATTTCCCAAAATGTTGTAAAGAGTCACACTTTTACCAGCAGTGTGTGAGACTGTATATTTTCTGGTACTTACACCAAAAGTTGCCAGTCTTTAAAGCTTGCCAGTATAATGGGTAAAAGTGATACCTTCTGGTCCTTATTTTCATTCCTCTCACTGCTCTTGAACTTGAGCATCTTTTCATAAGTTTACTGGCTATTTGTATTTTTTACATGACTTTTTATGTCCTTTGGCCATGTTTAAATCAGACTTTTCTTAACCATTGGGGGTGTCACCCCCATCCTTTTTTTTAAATCATATTTGTTGCAAAGATTTCCTCCCAATCTATTGTTTTTCTTTTCTTTAGTTGCTCATCATGGACATCATAATTTTTTCTGACTGCCCAGCACCTTTTGAGCATAATGTGATTTGGGATTAATTTTATTTTTAGAAAGTCCAAAGTGGAACCCAAAACACTTGCCTCTTTTGCACTCACAGCACAAACCTGGGATCCAGGTTACCAATCAGACTTATCAGGGCAGGACTGGGATTTCAAAGTGAGCCACTTAAGGAAAGAGGTACAGAGACTCCATTACAGTGGCAAAGGTGGTGGCAGAGGTATCTGGCTTTCAGGCAGGGCAGTTCTGGCACAGCAGTGGCCCCCCTTGGTGAGGAAGGTGTAGTGGCAGCTGCCTGTAGTGCTTGATGGTGTCGCAGCAAGGATGACTGTTTCCTCATCAGGGCAGTTCTACATATGATTTTGGATTGTTCCCAGGGCCTAGCCTTTAGTCCGATCCTCTCCACCTCCTGAAAATTATGTAATTTTGCCCAAGATTCTTTTTTTTTCTTTTTTTCTTTTAAGAAGGGCACAGCTCACAGTGGCCCATATGGGGATTGACCCTGCAACCTTGGCATTATTAGCACCACGCTCTAACCAACTGAGCTAACGGACCACCCCCACTCTCCTCAAGATACTTTCAATAAGTTTCTCTTCTGATATTTTCAGCCAGAGTAGCTGCTGGTGCTTGGAACTAAAATTCTTGACTACTTTTGTTTTGCCGTACAGAAAATCTTCATTGTTAGGAAGTCAAATCTATCACTTTTCTATGGTGCTCCTGTGATAGAATTAAATTGATGATTACTTTTATATTTAGATCTGGTTAGAGGGGTAGAAGTGATGATTACCAAGACAATTAATTGGGAAAACGAGATCAAAGGAAAACAAGTTTCAAACCTTATATAACCTCCTACTCTTCACTGTAAAATATTTTCTCTTTATTAAATTCAATGTCAAAGATATCTTTGACATACAGTGTTGTTCCTACTGTTCCAACTTGAAGGTAACCAAACTTCATTTCTTTGTAAAGCATTTATTACTTAAACATTTTATGAATTTAACTGTCCTTCCCCAATCGAATTAAATGAGATTTTATTATAGTTATTTTGGAAGTTAATTCTTATTGTTTATAATAAAGTATCTAACTTGTTCCCCTCAAATTGTATTTTAGGCTTTTTTCAAAGACCCAAATGTTATTCCCAATTTGAAGTTACTTTCAGATTCTGCTGGACAGTGGATTACATTAGGTAAATAAAATTTATTTTCATCTTTTCTGATGATTGTTTTATTATAACAGAATTTTGCCTCAGGAATTTTTATTAAAACAGTGAATAATGACGCATGTGTTTGATAACATCAAGGTCAAGTTTGATCAGCTGTGCGTGGCCTGCCCTGCATCCTTCTCCTGCATCTTGCTACTGTCCTGGCTTAGCACATAACAGCAGTTTTTCTCTTTTTTCATTAATTTGGGAAATATTTATTGTGTACCTTTCATGGACTCTTCCAGATGCAGGGAACATTAAGAAAACCTGTACTCAAGGAACTTGTTGATATGTAAGAAAAAAAGTGCAATAATGTATCACAGGTGCCACCATAGCAGTGGGAGCAAGAGGAGGGGAGTGGTCAGTTCTCCCCGGGGGAGGGGCCAGGTGAGATGCCACTGGTGTGAGTTACGTATGTACTTAGGCAAAATGTCAGCTAGGGCAGAGGAATGCATTTCTCACAGGAAGTAGCCACCGTTGAACATTCTTTGAAAATAATACCCATCACCCCAATGAATTTAATTTTTAAAAAATAATAACAATGCATTAAATTTTGGAGGAGAGAGTCTTAAATTCTCAAAAGGAGAATTTTATTTAGGCAATATTTTCATAGTACTTTGAAACACAGCTAGAAATCTTTAAGGAAAATTACCCAAACACTTACTAACACTCAAACTACTTAATAACTCTCATGGCAAGGAATAAATCAGAGAGTTAATAGAAGACTATTTTGAAAACAAAAACATGAATTCTCTCCCTCTTTCTCTTTCTCTGTCTCCTCCCTCTCTTTTTCGCTTTCTCTTTCTCCTTCTCTCTCTCTCTCTCTCTCTCTCTCTCTCTCTCTCTCTCTCTCTCGCTCTCTGTGTATGTGTACATATATGTATATATATGTATATATTTGTGTATATATGTATATATGTGTATATATATGGGAAAAAATTAAAATAAAATAAAAACCTTTTTTCCATTGCAGTTAACATACAATATTACATTAGTTTTAGGTGTACAACATAGTTGATTAAACATTTATATAACTTACAAAGTGATCGCCCTGATAAGTCTAGTACCCACCTGACACCATACATAGTTATTACACTATTATTGACTGTATTCCCTATGCTGTACTTTATATCCCCATGAATGTTTTAATAACTTGCAATTTGCACTTCTTAATACCTTCACCTTTCTCACCCCATTAGATAACCATCAATTTGTACATGACACTATATTTTAAATTTTAGATTGAGGCCTCTTAACAATAGAACAAATCTCTGTTTATAAGGAAAATCTGGTTGGTAATGTGAATTTGTATTCAAGAAAAAGCAAGTTGCTTTTAAATTAGATGGGGTTGTTTAATGAATTCTGACATTTCATTTTTATGGAATTCCAGTAGCCTTACACAAAAACAACTTTTCTTAGTATTAGTCAAAAACAAGATTACAAGCAGTTCATGATGTTAGACTTTAGTAGGTCAGATTTTATTGCTTTTGGCTAAAGGACTACTGCAAAATTTATAAAGTAAAAAGCTGGTACAATGTGATCTTCAGACTACTAACAAAGTTAAACTGAGTGAGCAAATATATTTACCAATTAAAAATCTTCAAAAGGAAATAATCAGAACTATGTATCACAGTGTTTATATGGCATTTTTACAGTAACTTCAGTCAATTCATTTACAAAAAATAAGATTTATTGAAAAACGTGTTTACTCTTCCCCCTGTATTCATACATACTTCACAAAACAGCACTGACTTTTTTCTAATTTTTGAAAAAGGCATTACAAAAAGAGAGGTTCTAAAATTCCACATGTGCCTGACAGAATCAATTAGAAGTAGTACTCTGAAAAATAGGGCAGAAGAGGTAGCACTCATTTCAGAAGCAGAAGCTTCTAGCAGATTGCTAGTACTCTTCCATTAGCTTTTTAAAAATCTCCTATTTGCTTTTCTTCTTCTGAAATATTGACCGTCTTCTAATTTTCCTCTGGGGGCCGTGATAAGTGAAGAAACAGCTTCTTAAAATGGGAGAAAAAACTTTCTTCTAGCAAGTGAACCAATTGTAGAGAGTGAGCTGGACCGTCCTTCACTGCTGGCTGCGTTGCCTTGATTGCCGATTGTCGGTGCCGCTTCGTCCTCGCAGCCAGCTGCTGTACCCTCCTTCATTTAGACACATTCTGCCTTTCTCTGACTCACATATAAGGGGTGCTTTCTGTGTGCTCAGCTAAGAGCATTATGCACATCATTACCTCCTTTAATTCTCAAAACAACTCTGAGAGGCATTATTATATAATCCCTATTTCCCAAATGAGGAGTCAGAGTCATGAGCTAAGTAATTTGCAGTTTTACACAGCTGGCAGGCTGGGTAGAGTTGAGATTCAAATTCAGGTTCCAGAATTCAAGACCTTGACCAGTACACCATTCTGCCTCTGCCACTTCCACATTAATAGGATTGCCAGAAAAGCACCAACTTGGACACCAAATGACAACGAGACACCCAGTGTATTATAATGTTAGTATCAAGGAGAAAAAATAATATATTTTTAACTTTCTATGTGACCATAGTGATGCATTATGTGTCTTATAAATGCTGGAGCTATGATTTAACCAAATTCCTACATAACAGAGAGCATGTGCTATGATTCTTATTTTGAAGCCTTAACCTTCAGTGTGATGGTATTTGGAGATGAGGCCTTTGGGAGATTATTAGGTGTATATGAGGTCTTGAAAGACCCTCAACAATGGGATTAGTACCCTTATAAGAAGAGAAGATACCAGAGCTCTCTGCAGTGTGCAGACACAGCTAGAAGGCAGCTGTCTGCAAATCAAAAAGAGTCTTCACCAGGAACTGAGTCAGCTGGCACCTTGATCTTGGACTTCCCAGCCTTCAGAACTGTGAGAAATTAGTGTCTTGTTTAACCACCCAGTCTATGGGATTTTGTGACAGCAGCCTGAGCTGACTAATACAGATTTTGGAAGTAGAGTGCTCCTGTAACAAATACCTAAAAATGTAGAAGTGGCTTTGAAACTGTGTAATGGTAATGAGTATAGGCTGGAAAAGTTTTGAGGTGCAAGCTGGAAATACGGATGTTAAGGTTGATTCTGGTAAGGTTTCAGATGGAAATGAGGAACATGCTACTGGAAACTGGAGGAAAGGCATTCCTTGTTACAAAATGGCAGAGAACTTCGCTGAACTGTATTTTAGTGTTTTGTGGAAGGTAGAATTTACAAGTGATAAAATTGGATACTTAACTGAGGACTAAGCAAAGTGTTGAAAGAACAGCTTAGTTCATCCTGAGTACTTATACTAAAATATAAAAAAAGAGAGAGAATTGAAGAAGGAATTGTTAAGCAAAAAGGAACCAGAACTTGAAGATTTTGAAAATTCTCAACCTATTCATATTACAAAAAATGAGAAAGCTTGTTCTGAAGAGAACACAAGAGTGTGACTGAGCTACCATTTGATAAAGAGATCATGGGTGCAATTCTTGGACTTAATTAGCCATTCTAACAGAATGTAATAGGGAGGGGATTGTACCAGCAATGACACTGTCAGTTTGAACTAAAGGGGACAGAAAAAACTAGATGAAATGAAGGCTGTCAGACTTCTTAGATCCTACGGGACCATACCATAGAGCCATTTGGCTTCAAACATGCTTTATTTTTCAAGAAAAAAGAACTGAGAACACAATTCAGAGATCATCAGGGCCACCCTCTCAGTTTCAACAACACGCTGCCTTGTGGGGGAGAAGCATGGAGGCGGGGCCACTGCCCCAGTGGATCTGGAAGGTAGTGCATTGACAAAGAGAATTATTCTTGAGGCTTAAAATCTAATGAATTTGCCTTGATAAATTTTAGGCTTGCTTAGAACCATCATTTCTTCCTTCTTTCCTGTTTCTCCCTTTTAGAATGGAAATGTCTATCCTATGTCTTCTCACCATTGCATTTTGGAAGCACATTCCTTTTCTGGTTTCACAGGTTCATACCATGTTTCCCTGAAAATAAAACCAGGTCTTATATTAATTTTTGCTCCAAAAGATGCATTTTATTCATTTATTCTTGTACAAAAATCTACATTTATTTAAATACAGTCATACCTGGCTGACGATCTTAACTGGGGCTTATTTTGGGGTAGGGCTTATCTTACAAGTACCCTGAAAATCCTGCAAGGGCTTATTTTCTGGTTAGGTCTTATTTTCAGGGAAACACGGTAGCTGGAGAAGAATTTTGTCTCTTGATGAATCAAAGCTCTAGTCTCACCCATACCTAATTTAGTTGGTATTTAGATGAGACTTTAGAGTTGATGCTGGAATGAGTTAAAACTTCTGGCGCTTTTGGGATAGAATAAATGTATTTTACATATGAAAAGACACGAATTTGGGGGATCCAGGAGCAGAATGCTATGGACTGAATGAATTGTGTCCCTTCAAAATTTGTATGTTGAAGTCCTAACCTCACCCATGACTTCATCTAACCCTAATTACTTCCCAAAGACCCCATGCCAAATGCCATTACATTAGGGATTAGGGATTCAACATATGAATTTTAGAGGGACACCATTCAGTACATAGCAAATGATATTTCTATGCCTCAGGTTAAGTAGTTTGAATTTAATTACCTTCTCTCACCACCCAAACCTTCTTGCCATTCCTCATATCAGAGCTAGGGTAGATTTGTTAAAAATGGCATGTTGCCCAATATCAGCCCCTCATTCCATGGTCACCACTTCATCTTGGAAAACTGTTTGGCTCTTCACTGCTCTTGTTCTTTGGTCTTCTAATATTTCTCAGACCTACTCCATCTTTTTCTGTGGTCTATTCCCTTTAGTGCCCCAGAGGATTTTGTCTCTGAAACAAAAGGAGCTTTTCTTAGCAGCATTGAAATTACATACATAGTTGTTGGCTTTAGGTATCCCTCTTGCCTTTACACTAGCCCAGCTCAGGTCATAGCAGGACTCTAGCTGGACAGCCAGAGGGAGGAAGTGCAAATAATTGCCAATATTACTCTTCTCAAGCTCAAGCTATTTCTCAGGTCAAAGATCTGGCAAATGTATTGGAAGAGGACACACAAAGGATCACCACACTTAGATCTACAATTTCCCTAGAACTTTGAAGAAAGAACACCACCCTCTATATCTGAGTGAGTTCCTATGTATGTGTGGGTGCGTAAAACAGAGAAATTGAGTGATTCATGGAGGCAAGAATAAAAATATTCACTTTAATCTTTATGTCTTTCTGTAACTTAATAGAGCTTATAGTAATTGAAAATCCATTTCTGAAACATTAAGGAAATAAGAGAGGGGTGGGGTAGGAGGCGAAAGGGAGAAGAACTAGAGCTACAAGAGAAAAGTAGACAAAACACCATAATTTCAAATTTCTGTAACTCCAAATTGTGATAACTTTGTTAGGGCCTGATTTGAATTTACTTTAAAAAGGAAAACCTTTTTTATAATAAACACTGTGAATGAGATCACATCACAAGTGAAAAGCTTTTAAATAGGAACTTTTTTTTAAGATTTTATTGGGAAATTGGGGGAGGGAAACAGAATCAGGGGAAGGGGAACAGACTAGTTGCTGTCCTATTGTTCTTCAGTCTAGTTGTGGAGGACGTCGCTTCACTGGCCCAAGTTGATATTGTGATCATTGTGCTCTTCCTGGGTGAGGCAGTCACTCACCAGCCATTGGACAGCTGCTCACGGCAGGTCACAAAAGCTCACGCCCGCTGCCAGCCAGCCCCATTGCAGCCTACGCCATAGCTGGCGACTCACGGCAACCCAGCTGCAGGTCGAGCTGTTATTCACCATCTTAGCTGTAGAGGGCGCAGCATCACTGGCCCTCATGTGGGATCCAAATCAGGGCCCTTCTGCTCAGAGCTGGCATCCCAAGCCAACTCCTAACCAAGGCGCCACTCCTCCAGCCCTGAATAGGAACATTTTCAAGATACCCTCAAGGACTTTAGAAATACCCATTACTTATGTTAATTAAAATTTCCATAGTGTGAATTATATAGCATTAAGCATAATACAAATCAAAATCATATAAAATAATTCCTATGCTTTTATAGGCAATTTTGATAAAAACTGATCTAAGAACTCCCTACTATACACGAAAAAAATCAATTTCATTTTAAAGCATTTTCTAATTTACATATCCTTCATCTAGGCGTGAAATGTGAAATTTTGTTAAAACAAAGTCTGACAATTAAGTTTGTGAACTTGTTGCAATGATGTTGCTAACCTTTCTTGATATCAGAGGGATTATTCATTATGGATTTGTACCAACTGGACAAACAGTTAACCAAGTTTGCTATTTGGAAGTGCTGAAAAAGGCTGTGTGAAAAGTTAGACGATCTGAACTTTTCGCCAACAATTCATGGCTCTTGCCTCACCACATTGCACCAGCTCACATGGCACTGTCTGTGTGGGAGTTTTGAGCCAGTAAACAAAACTGTATTGGAACACCCTCCCTACTCACCTGATCTGGCCCCCAATGACTTCTTTCTTTACCCAAAGATAAAGGAAATATTGAAAGGAAGACATTTTTATGACATTCAGGACATCAAGGGTAATGTGATAACAGCTCTGATGGTCATTGCAGAAAAAGAGTTCCAAAATTGCTTTGAAGGGTGGACTAGGCGCTGGTGTCAGTGCATAGCTTCCCAAGGGGAATACTTCGAAGGTGACCATAGTGATATTCAGCAGTGAGGTATGCAGCACTTTTTCTAGGATGAGTTCATGAACTTAATTATTCTACCTCGTAAACTTTTAATAAAAATGAAAAAGCTGCAAAATACGAATTTAATAAAATCCCTAAACTATGCGTCTTTTAAATATATCAAAATATATGTCAGATTTTGTTATTTTGAACCTCTGCATAATATTTGTTTAGGAAATAATTGAGGGTATGAAATTAATTTTTATATGTCTATTTATAAAATATCTTTTTTCAGGAACTGAAGTGAAAAAAATTGAAGCTATAAATGTTCCTTGCACACAGCTTTCGATGTCATTTTTTAATCGGTTATACAGTGAAGATATTGTACGAGACTGTGGACACATTGTTAAATGTTTTGATTCTTTTTGTGATCCCTTTCTTATTTCTGATGAGTTACGAAAAGTAAGTACAAAAGTTTTAAACTTCACAATAGAATTTTATTTCAGGAAGTGATTAATGTAAAAAACTTTTGCCTGTCTAAACCCATAAAATACCTCTTCTCAATGAATAATGATCAATAATAATCATTACATTGGTAGATTTCTTCTTGGATGGGACTTTTACTGTCAACTTTATTATCTATGTATTTCAGTAGTTCTTGACCAGGTGCTACTAACATCCAATGTGTTGAGGCTAGGGATGCTGCTAAACATCATACAATGCACTGGACAGCCCCTTACTACAAAGTTATGTGGCCCAAAATGTCTATAGTACTAAAGTAGAGAAAACCTGACCTATTTAATTGATGGCTATTTTTCTTCAATGTGGGGCTCTTAACATATCACATGAACATTTAAAAACATCCCTGGAGTAAAAGAATCTTCTTATCTCATTGCTGAGATCAAAAAAGCCATTTGACTAAGTTAATTTTGTTTTAGGGAAAGGTGTACTGAACTTGGATTATGTACAGGGCTTTGGTATCAAATAGATTCAAATCCAGGCTTTGTCACTTAATGGTGATATTTAACCTCTCAGCCTCAGTTTCTTTATCTATAAAATGGGAATAGTGTAAATTATGTGAGAGAGTGCATTTAAAGTTCTTAGCACAATGCCTGGCACTTAGTAAGCTTTTGATAATATTAATGACTATTATTAATTGTTAACATTCTACATTAAAAGAGAAGGGAGATGTACAAGTCTAATGTATTGCAAATCCAGATAGGAATGAACTAAGGAAGCTACTGATGCACTATTTTGGATTCAGAAATCTTATCTGTGGGAGACCACAAGGTACCCAGCCAGTCTATACATTGATCTACACTAGTACAACACCTAAGAGAACTCTTAGTTTAAGAAGATAATAAAATAAACTAATTGAGAATAACCAAACTGACACAATGAATGAGACTACATATAGTTTACTCTTTAGTTAAGTGAAGTATATTCATGTATAACAAGATACTATAAATACTCTACAGTGGGGATCTGATACTCATTTCTACTCCTTACCAAGGACTGGAAATCATTCAGAAAGTGTCTGGTATAGTCTGGGTTTCCCTCCTTTTGAGTACAACTAATCTCAGTTCTTCTCTCTGTCCCTGTCCTGTGTTGGTATTCCTTAAATTTTTTGTCTCAAGGCCCGTACCCCTAATTTTGGAGAGTTCACCAACACTTCCACACAGAGCCTCCGCAGTAGACTTCTTTTAAAGGAGGATTTGCTTTCCAACAGTAGCCTCTGTTTAAAGCTTCCTGCTGCTGCCTGTCTTGTTTATGCCATGAATAGCACCTCTATTTAGGAAGTGCCGGGACGCAGTGTTTTCCGTCTAGTTGCCTGTATGTTTTACTCTTGTGTTCTTTGCCACTGTGGCAACAGGAAAGACTGTAACTTGGTTGTGTTCTGGCTGAAAAATAAATAAATAACTTCCAGATTTAGCCAGAACTAAAAAGGGCCCCCCATTGTGCAGCAACATGGATTCTGTTGGCACACAGTGTAACGTAAGTGCTGATAATAACCTCCTTCCTGACTGCGGCTCAGAAGTTTGATTCATTAACCATTGCGTACCGGCTTTCTGAGGGCGACACGACTGAACAGTCATGTATGTGAATGAAGAGGGAGACCAACCATAGAATGTTACTGTTTTAACATTCACTCCAAAATTTTTTTTTAATTACTGTAATTTTTAAATTACACAGCCTAATCATTTCAATATATGAGAGTGCTCGTCAGGAATGTAACTGTTCATTCTTAAGGGCTTTAGTTGCCGTTGTGTTAAGACAGATCTTTAGGTAGCTACAAAATTGGTCTTCATTATCACATCTTTCCTTACAGAAGAGGCGGGAGGGAAAGAGGGGAGATAGATGTATAAGTGGCACACTCAGACAGTAGTAAACAAGGGACCGCTTCCCTTTACTTATCTTACTGTATGTAACTTTGGCTTTCATCACGTCATCATAAGTAAACTGTATAGTCAACACCATAGAGTTGTTTTTTTTTAAATGCCTCTTATATAATGACCTTGTGGTGGATTTTCATTTGAGATTGGGGTAAATAAAATGTTAAGTTTAGTCTGTTTTCCTAATTAAGTGTATCTCTTACTATTAGACAGTGATTGTTGTATAACTCATATTTCCCTCTTTTATCTGTATGGTAGTGCTAATTGTTTTGTACAATTTTTATAGCTTTTCTCCACTTAGTGTTCCTGATGTGTAATTGTTGTCTCTTCCCACTTTATTTCTTGGTTACAGTTTTTGTCTTTTATTATTTTTATTTTATTTTACCTATATTTCATTGTTAGCTATTTCACATTCTTTTTTTAAAGGAGATAGAGTATAAACAATTCAATGAGAGACATAACTGTTATAGCATACATTTATCACCTTGTTATGTCCACCATGGTCAACAAATTAATCAATTGCCTGTAATGCCCAATGGTATAAGAAAATCCCCAACATCAGACCTAGTCAAACTGTTTTCTTTTCATTTCTCATTAAGCTTTGTTTTAATGAGTCTCAAAATTCTGTGACAGATTTTTAGTTAAGATGTTTCCATTAAAAAGTACTGATTTTAAAAACTAATAACTTAAAAACTGCCACACACACACAAAAAATGGTCCACAAAACATCCTCCTTTTCTTCTGAAGGTTTTATGATGCATTGTAATCATTAACCAGTCTTTTACTATTAAACTTAAATGGCCAATTGTGACAAACAGTTCTGAGACCATTCTTCCACCACTGATTAAGACTGGGGTGGCAGGTATTGGGGATAATATTCATTTAGCCTTCTGAGCTTTCTGGGCGGACTTGGTGACCTTGCCAGCTCCAGCTGCCTTCTTGTCCACTGCTTTGATGACACCCACAGGGACTGTCTGTCTCATGTCACGAACAGCAAAACGGCCCAGAGGAGGGTAGTCAGAGAAGCTCTCAACACACATGGGCTTTCCAGGAACCATATCAATGATGGGAACATCACCAGCTTTCACAAACTTTGGGCCATCTTCCAGCTTTTCCCTGAACGAAGATCAATCTTCTTCAGCTTAGCAAATTTGCAAGCAATGTGAGCTGTGTGACAATTGAACACAGGTGCATATTCAGCACTGATTTGGACTGTATGATTCAGGATAATCACCTGAGCCGTGAAGCCAGCTGCCTCCGTTGGTGGGTCACTTTTGCTGTCACCTGCCACATTGCCATGACGAACATCTTTGACAGACACATTCTTTTTTTTTTCAGCTGAGCCATCCTGCCACCTGTTGGCAGCTCAGCAACAGCTCAGCTCGGGCTGGACTCGAACCGCTGTTTCTCAAAGCTCAAACCTTTGAGCGAGCTCTTAACCAACTGAGCCACTCAGCTGGCCCCGACAGACACATTCTTGACATTGAAGCCCACATTGTCCCCAGGAAGAGCTTCACTCAAAGCTTCATGGTGCATTTCAACAGGCTTTACTTCAGTTGAAACATTGACTGGAGCAAAGGTGACCACCATACCAGGTTTGGGAACACCAGTCTCCACTCAGCCCACAGGGACAGTACCAATACCACCAATTTTGTAGACACCCTGGATGGGCAGATGCAAAGATTTGGCAGTTGGACGCGTTGATGGCAGGATGTGATCCAGAGCTTCAAGCAGCATGGTTCCACTGGCACTTCCATCTTTACGGGTGACTTTCCATCCCTTGAACTAAGGCATGTTAGCACTTGGGTCCAGCATGTTGTCACCATTCCAACCAGAAATTGGCACAAATGCTACTATGTCAGGGTTATAGCCAATTTTCTTAATGTAGGTGCTCACTTCCTCAACAATTTCCTCATATGTATTCTGGCTGTAAGGCGACTCAGTGGAATCCATGTTGTTAACACCAACAATTAGTTGTTTCACACTCAGTGTGTAAGCCAGAAGGCCATGCTCACAGGCCTGCCCATTCTTGGAGATAATCGGCTTCAAATTCAGCAACACCAGCAGCAACAATCAGGACAGCGCAGTCAGCCTGAGATGTGCCTGTAATCGTGATTTTGATAAAGTCTCTCTGTTCTGGGACATCAATGAAGGTCACATAACACTTGCTGAGCTCGACTTTCCACAGGGAGGTATCAGTGGGGATCTCACACTCACACTTAGCTTTCCGTTTATCCAAAACCCAGGCACACTTGGATCTGTTTCCCATCTCAGCAGCCTCCTTCTCAAATTTTTTGATGGTTCTTTTGTCAACCCCACCACATTTGTAGATAAGATGACCAGCAGTGGTAGACTTGCCGGAATCTACATGTCCAGTGACAGCAATATTGATGTGTGTCTTTTCCTTTTCCATTTTGGGTTAGATTTAGTGGTGGTTTTCACT